AAATCTATAATTAGTGACATTTTTACTTGAAAAACATTCTCAGATCATGAAACTACTTGGGAAACATTCTCAGATCACCTACAGCTCGGCAACACTTTGAATCAACCCAATCAGAGTTATGACGAAGGAGATATTCAGTTTGCAAATCGAGTGTTTCTGCACTTATCCGATTTGGACATATGCGGCTTAATTGGAGATTTACGACCTAACCAGGAGGAACTAAGCTGTGAACCGACTTGTTCTGGAATATGTTCATCAGAGATTGCTGGAGAAATGAAATCATACCAATACCGGTTTTGTTTTGAGAGTTATTCAATTTTTAAACCAATGGTTTATCGGCTTGCCTTATTTGGAGTCTCACGAGTTTGGTCAAGATCAAACGTATTTGTGGCGACCAGGAGACCTTTACGATGATCTAGAAGTTTCCCCAAAGGCCCTACAATGCTTCAGCACTCAGAGGATTAGGCGAATCCTCTTTCATCTTAACTTACCTAATTTTGACGCATTCACACTAGGAGCAATAAAGGAGTTCGCACAACAGCTCCTTCCTTTTGAGTTTGTCCACGAAATTGAGACCTCCAAAGCATCCAGAGACTCCCAAAGGTGCACCTATACCTCCTCATGTGGTTTCGCCGTCCATAATTGCCGGCAAAGGAGGTTGTGTACGATCTTTCCGGAGAAAGCAACTTTACGAACTCGAATCTCAAAAAATTTCTCAAACTGAGACTTATGGATTCGTTCTAGTTCCGGCGTCCCTTTCAGTGCGGTGGCAACTTCGGCTAGCAATTCCGGCTTCGAATAAGCATTGACTCTATCACTAATCCGATAATAATCACGGACGAAGATACGAGGCGGTAACTCCGAGTTGCAGACGTCGTAGTCTGACGGTTTCACCGGCCTTATTTGAATTGGAAGAACTTTCTCTGTAAAAAATTAATATGTAAGACACTTCCAATATCCAGTGAGTACAAAAACGACTCCGAAGACGAACACGTTATCTATTTACCTTGAAGTCGGAGGAACTCTTCGTCGTCGTCCATGGTAAGAGAGATGCTTGGAGTTTTTTTTTAGATAGGCGAGAAACTAATTAAACGCTACAACACACTTTTCTTTTTTCTCAGTAAAACGGTGGGACCCTCACCAATCGATGCGAGTGATTTCAAACGCGGGCCGGGCAGGCTTTATCGCACATTGGGCTCATTCTCGGACAAGGGGCAAATCGGTCCAAAACACACACGAAAGTGTTAAGCCCACAAAGACCGGCGAATTAGTGTTATAAACACAGTCCACAATTAGGCTTTAATGGTATTTTTCTAAAGATTTTGGAAAAAAAAAAATTTTAAAAAATGAACATAATATTGAGG